CAGCAACATCAGTCCTTGTGCTCCTCTCGAAGTTTGATGAAGTTTCTTGTGTAGGAGCAGAATGTTCGAGGCGCTTTCTCTTACCTGGAGTACCTTTCAATTCATCCAATATAATGCCATATCCCTTCTTGGCTAAGTCAACAGGCTTTGCTTCTTTTATTTTTTGGATGGCTGGTGAGACTTTTGATGATAAGGATGAAGCAGCAGACTTAACCTTGCTAAAAACTGTTTCTGCATTATCACTGGAAAAAGATTGTTGCTGCTGCTGCTGTTCCTGTTGAGTTTTTGCTGATGCAGACTCACTACTCTCATTGGTATTTTTACCAGAAGTATCTGAATGACCACTTGATCCTGGAGTTTCTTCCTTCCCCGTCCGAAAGCTTGACCTGACCTATAAACGAATCAGGGTCAACTGTTACTCTCTTAAAGAATTCACCATAATCGGGACATGTGCTAACAAGAGCTCAGGGAAGAACTACCAACCTCCTCTTTAGTAGCAGATATTTTTTCCTCCACATTGGCATAAACCTACAAGACAAATTATATTATCTCAAAAGGCAGTGACTAAACTTGACTTTTTTAAGGAACTTTCAGGATTCGAAGATTGAAAGATCAAATATCTTTTTTTTTAATGGAAGAGTTTTATTACTGGCTTCAAGGAAAAGCATTCAATACAAGAGTAAATAGTTAGCTCCATTACATGAGATGGTTATGGCAGAACCAAGAAGCTATCCCAAAAAGGCAAAAAATATGTAGGGGAAACACAAACAAGTGGGAAAGTCAAGGTTAGGGAACTAACAAAGTCTAGAAATGCATCAACATTATACGACAGTTTGTTCCAATCAAAGATGCAAAATAAACATCTAGCCTTCTTGGAGTGGTTTGTAGTTGAAAGATCAATATCTTTACTAATTAATAGTGATAGGTGTTGAAAACATAAATAATTATATAAACTTATGCTCTCTCTAACAACTTAAGACCACACACATTAAATTGCTATCAGAGTAGGCAGAAGTCATGGGTTTGAGTCTTGCCACCACCCATCATCAAATTTTTTTCCCCACATGCTTGGACCAGTCACACGTGAGGGGATGTGTGGAGACGTAAGTTATTAAATAAAAGTATGTTATCTCTAATGACTTAAGCTTTTAGATGAGATGGTTACACTTCAACGACAAGACAAAACTTCACTGCAATGAATGTTCTCAAATGTTGGTGCACCAGAGGAAAAGATCTCCAAAGAAATAGTGCACCAAGAGAAGTCTCATGTTTTGTTGGCAGTAGAGCATGGTGCTTGACAGAGGATAAACTACGTACAAAACTTCATTACAAATATTACCATACAAAAAATAACTTGATTGCAAATATTTGTATTACTAAATTAAAAGAAAGGGGGGGACACTGTGTACAAGAGGATCCAGTATGTGTAAAACATAAGTAGGAATTGTGAATCGTCTATTTATTCACTAGAAGGCTGCAAAAGAGTTGTGAGACATGTTTTCGACTTATTCGATATCAGGCAGGCATACTTGAATCCGTAAAGGTTGTCTATAACAGCTTACTAGGAGGAAAAGAGGGAGCTCAGTTGCAAGATATAGAGAGTTACCAGCAAGTATTATATGGACACAAACACAATGGGGAAGAAAGGAATCAAGAATGTCCCGTAAGTGTTTACACTCCACAGATAGATTGAAAGATAGATGTCCATTTAATCTAACTTGCCTCTGCAATTCAAAGTCTGTATATGATGTAACACCTGGGCTTTATATCCCTTCATTTTTGAGGGGGTAGAGGGGTGCTTTTATACTCATTGCATCCTCTGAATCTCCGATACTAGATTTTTATTATTTTATAGAAAGGCAACAGAATAATATGAATCAACCTGGCATACCATCTAGATACCTAGAAGCAGCTTTGCACAGCCATGAACAGCTGTTAATATAGTCTCGAGGAAAAATATATGTGTGGGAGCATTCATTTTAGATAAATCTCAATCAGCAACGAAATATTAGACCAGCACCCTGATGGAGGGTGCACCATTACAGTATTACCTTTTTTGCCGTAGCTTCAGCTTCCGTCCAAACACCATCGACATGCTTGTAAAGCTGCTCAGTTGTCTGCTTCGTTCTGCATTTGCCAGTTCACCATTTCAGGGTCCCCATTGGTAGTTCTGCCAGCCTTGACATACAACAGTATGTCTCAGCCCCTTAAAGAAAAGGCTAAAACCTTTTAAAATTACATTTAAAGGAAATCTAAAAGGCACCTTGTTTTAAGATCTTCTTTCACCCCTTTTAACTCCTCTGCTTTCTCCTTCAACACCTTGACTGACTGTTGGAATTCTTGATTACTGCAGCAATAAGCATTGAGGAATAAACCCAGTGACACCCCCAACAAAGTCTTAGAAGTAAATAGATGGAGAGCGCGACACGGACACTAGAAACTTGATAATCATAAAATTGAGAAATATTTGTATTCTCTACTATCTCACTTCAAAAGATAACAACATGTCCCCATATCACCCGGTCCCAAGGAAAAAAAGAAATGCTCAGAATCAGGTTCCTCATACTTCATTTCGACAGATCTAGCCAACTAATGAATGCTAGGTAGCCATTTCTGTTGGGGATTTTAAAGATAAAGATGTAGTAATCAATGATAAAAAATGTTGAATGCAAGTTAAGTTGAGTGGAAGACATAGCCCGCCCAAGAGTGAAACAACATATTTGAAATAACTACATTGTCTAGCATATCCACATACCTGTGTGTGCCCCCTTTTTTGTATGACAATAGTGTGAACATAGGATAAAATGATAAGGAATCTTCTCTTGGAAGAAAAACATTGCCACAAGCAATATCATTTCATGGATAAAAAGAAACTAATATCTGTTTAGAGTGGTCTAAGGGTCAGGATACTATTGTATTTAATATGGCCATGTACACAAATGGTGGTAGAGATAAACACAAAAAGAGATGAATTATTAAGAAAGTAATAGCTGCTAAATATGCGACATGAATGAATGTTTCCAGATGAAGCGACTAGCCATTTAATGAGCACGTCTGCGGAAAGGGATTATGAAGAAAAAGATGACTTCCTTAGATTCATTGACTTTGTCATTCGGAATGACAAATTTTGGTTGGATATGTGGCATGAAGATGCAATCTATGATCAGTGGTGTTAGCTATTGCTCATAATATGAATGCAATATGAGCTTGTAGCTAACATGACGTTTGAAATCGTTCAAGAGAATATCATGGGAATTTAGCTTTTCAGGAGCTATTCAGATTGAGTATCTGACAAGTGGAACATGGGAAGGGTAGGATGGTATAAAGACGGTTAGTGTGTACATTGTCATTAAAATCTTATTCCTACGGTCTAATTAATTGAGAAGAAAAGAAGACGTCGTAAAAGGAGATTCTCACACAAAGGCACCAAAGAAAGTCGCTCATTTAACTTAGGTGTGTCCCGCGAAATGATATCCTTATGAAGACAATCCAATAAAAAATAAATGCATTTCTTTAAGTGCAGAGGCTATGGATAGATGAAGTTATGTGTCCACCATGTCCATCAAAGGAACTGGAGGATTTTTCAAGGCAATGAGAAAATACTTAAGATATATACAATATCTTGTTTTATTTCATATATGCTTTGGCTTAACTAATTCTTTTGTATAGATAGTTTGGTAGGCTACATACCTAGATTGTACATATATCTTTTGCGCATCTTCACCAACTACTGAAAGATATCAAGCCCAGGGTTGATCACAAAATTAGATACAAAGGGAGCTTCTAATTCAAATAATAGAATTCCCTAGCTGGTACAAAATCCCTTTCTCTTCTTTAATTACCAATATACAATAAAGTAAAACAATTAGAGCATTGAAATGAAAAGCAATAAAGAAAGAGCAAATACCTGTCTACTTCGCCTTTAACTTTCTTGGAGAACTCATTGAATACACCGAAATGACGAATACCCAGATACCTATCTGCTCCAACAAACCTCAAATTTGTTGTAACTCTACCCAAAACCACCTAATGCAAAAAAAATAAAAAATTACAAATTATAAACAAGAAGCAGTGAGCACAAATTGAATAAAGAAGAAAAACAACGAGAACCTGTTGCGGTGCTAATATTCGGCGGAAAACAGGTTGTTTGGAGATAAACAAGTCCCGCACAATCTTTCTGCTGGTCATTTGGAGCCCTTTAATGAAGAAGAAATGCAGATTTTCTTGTGAAGAAGAAAACGGTCTGTAGTAAGCTCTTCTTCTTCCGTTCCTGCCCTAATGTTAGAAAGACTTGTTTGGGCCGCAAGATAAACCCCAACTTTTTAAAAATATATTGGTCTAACAATTTTTTTAAAAAATATATTCCATTGAAAAATGAATTGCTTAAAAATAAGGAAATTATTAATTGAAGATAATGAAAAATAAGTTTAACAAATGATATTCGCATTTATTTATCTTCCATACCGTACAACATGTCATCCTTGCTCAACCCCTCGTAGCCCCAATCCAGCCGGCTATCCCAATTATTTATTTAAATTATATACATTTATTTTTTATTTACATATCGAATACAAGAAAAGAAAATAAATACTCGTATATGCAAATTAAAGCCTTGCATCAAAATGCAAAGAAAGCATGACATAGTACATGATTATAACTAAATACGTCTGGTTTCCAAATTCCCACAGGCCACGGGCAGCATAAATCTTGTGTCTTCACTTCACAGACAGCACTTCCAATCATAACAAACTTAACCCCCACCACAACCGCACACAAAATTTAGTAGGTTTAATCTTTAAATTGGTTAACGTGTGATATTAAGTTATGATGAATTTACTTAAATAACAATATTACCATATTATGTTATGAAATAATACGTAACAATGATTTAATTAAACCGAAAAGTGAACCTATGGACAACACTCTCTTTGCACGTGCCTCTCACACCCAAGAAGTACTTACTACATTCCTCTTTTTCCCTCCCCCATTCTCAAGTACTCTCACCAACCTTAACGTCTCTACCTTTGCCAACCCTTCACGAGAGTTACGTGCCTTTCTTCATTCCTTTTCTTATAAACAACTCTATTAATTTCTCTTTTAATTACAATTTACATTCTTACTTTCCCTTTTAACAAAAGCCACCACATGGATGAGCGATCAAGTGATGGCGCCGACCGGCGTAAGGGCCCTGGAAAGCATGTTTCAGGGGCCGTGGAGCAGCAAGCCTCGGGCGTTCTTCCAGCTTCCACGGCCCCTTGTGGTGCATGCAAGTTCTTGAGAAGAAAATGCATCAATGGCTGCGTTTTCGCTCCCTACTTTGGTTCAGACCAAGGCGCGGCTCGGTTTGCAGCCGTGCACAAGGTGTTTGGAGCCAGCAATGTGTCTAAGCTATTGTTGCACATTCCGGCTAACCGGCGGCAAGACGCGGTGGTTACTATTACTTATGAAGCTCAAGCTAGGCTCTCGGATCCTGTCTTTGGTTGTGTCTCAACCATTCTTGCTCTGCAACAACAGGTGAAAAAGTGTCAAAAAAAAAAGAGTAAAATATTCTTTCGTCCAAAAATATTGACAAAACTAAGTCATTCTATGAAATAATTCACCAAAATAATATGTTTTTTAAAAATTTTATAAAAACTAGTATAAACGTATTTCACAGTAACGTTTTAGGGCATATTTTATTTTTTAAATGCTGACGGCATTAGATTGATATACATTATTCATAGTAACATTTTACTCCTGAAACGTTACTCAAAGTAATGTTTTAGGAGTAAAATATTACTAAAAAAATATTTTAGGAGTAAAACGTTACTCACAGTAACATAGTATCAATCTAACGATGTTTGTAATGAAATATAACTTAAAACGTTAATGTGAAATATGTATATACTAGTTCTGTAAAATTTTGAAAAAAAAATATATTATTTTGATAAATTATTTTATATAATGGCTTAGTTTGGCAAAAAAATTTCAAAAGCTGACATGTTTAAAGCCACAAAATTAAAAAGCAATTTAGTACATTTGATTTAATTTTAATTTATAACGAAAAAATTAAAAAAATCTTCTTTTAAAATTTTGTGTCAAATCAAACCAATTCACTCATTTTGAAACGGTGGAAGTATAAGTTCATCTAATAGACTAACATGAGGTAGTACAATTATTTTGTAGGTGGCATCGTTACAATCAGAGCTAGCAATAGTGCAAACACAGGTGATGAACAGCAGATATGCAATGGCAAATGCGTATCACAATATTTCACAAGAACAACACATTGCAATTCTACAGCCAAGTTACTCAAACAATTCTTCTATTTCAAACAACAATATTAACCTCATCAACAATTTCAATAACTTTACTACTAATAATATTTTTGATCATCAACTGCATGGATCAGTTACCTGTACTGCTAATAACTCTCCAAGTTTTGACCCAATTCATCAACTCCGTGAGGAGGAGGAGGAGGAGGAAGAAGAAGAAAGCCATAATCCACTTGCTTTTACTAATCACATGTTTCATTCCCTGTGAAGTAATATTATCACACTACACCTTTAATTTTACAAATAATTGAGCTGTTTTAATTACCATATATATATGTTGATAGAAAAAGTTTATTAATTATTTAACTAGTAAATATTTCACTCCTCGCTTTTACTTTCACTTTCAACATTGTTCAATTACCGCTAATTAAATATGTATTTTAAGCGACACTTAACACTCTTTATATATATTTTTAAAGTCTGTAGCGACATTTAAATCTAACTTAATACGAATAAAATTTTTAACATTATTTATTAATGTGTCGATTCATTATCGCTAAAAGTTATTTTATTATAATGCTTAATAAATATTTATAGGAACATATTAGTTTTGACTTAGCAAAGACGATATATGTGACTTCACGAGATCAAAAGTCCAACAATAATCGGTCAAGATAAACTTAAAAGTGTAAGTAGCCTCAAATTTTTATTTTATTTTTTTTTTAGAAAATAAGTTACATAACTCGACAAATAACGAAAACAACGTGCAAATATGAGTCATCACATTATTAGAAATAAACAATTTACATTAAATATTATTCACTATTTTCGTACGTAGTATCATATATTTTGTTATTTTTTATCATTTATCTTTTATATAGTGTTATTTAAAAAAATATTAGACAAAAGAATTTTGATTATTTTATTTTTATTTATAGGAACTACTAATATATTTTCTTAATATATTTTTAAAAATTACTACGTGTTGAAACAAAATAAATAACTACAAAAATTAGAGTGATAAATAAATTAACAATAGAGTGACAATTTTCTGTAATAAAATTGAAAAGAATGCAACCGTAATTTCGCTATTATTAGTAGGAATATTTTTACTCATTTGATGACTAAGAAAATTACTCTTCATATATAAAATAAATATCAATTTTAGTTTTGCTATTTATAATTAAGTATGAGAAAACTGATGTGTTATATTATGCTTATCTGTGCATATATTAAAAATATAATTGTAATATAAATTTCGAAATTAGAAAGATAGAGTATAACTTATTAATTAAATTGGTCTCTGCTAGCTACCAAATAGTTTGACCTTTTCTATTTCGTTAAAAAAACGACGCAAAAAAGAATCCGATTGTATTTAGAATTCTCCACCAACTATTGATCAGTTATCTATAATTAAAGGGATTAGCTGAAGTTAGGGCTTTTGATGATTGATTGGAAGATGAGATCTGTTGAATCCATAGTGGCGGAGTTATCACCGTCTTCTTCCGCAACAGCCGTGGTCGGAGCAGGAGGAGATGGCGGCGGCGGCGGCGGCGGTTGGTTCGTGGAGTGCCACGGTTTATGGCATAATGTATTGATGATAGTTCCTTCAGCACTATTTGTTATATACTTGGCTTCCCAAGCCAAGAGAAGCTTCTCCAAGGTTTCTAATGGTCGATCGCATGTAGTAGCTGTTCTCTATGCCATTCTCTGGCTTGTTAGCATCTTCAATTTGGCCTGGTGCTCTATTCAGGTACCTATTTGTTATCCTGTTAACTGTTTGATTATTACTAACTTTTTATAATTTTTTGTTCTGATATTTGTACTTCCTGTAATAATGTTCATACATCGGATTGGTCTTACCTTAGCAGCAAAGCAATGTTCTATGGAAAACAATTACGATCGCCATTTACTATTACTCAAAATGGATTTTTTATTTCTAGCTATAATTAGGGGTTAGTGAGTTGTTACTGGTTACTGTATGTATATTTTTGATCCTTTTTGAAATGTGCCAATGACAATCCTTGCTTGCTAACTGTCAGAAGAAGGATATTACAGCTTTTGCTGGACTTATTTATGGAAACTTCCTTTGTCAATATGTCGACAATGTCTGTTCCTGCTTTCTTCAACTTGGAAAAACACAACTCTTATATAGAGTGCAATAATGAAACAAAAACGTAGAAACAAAAGAAAAGGTAGTAAATCCTGCTTATGGCATGGTCATGTAGAATTATTTTACTGCAAAAGACTTCACATTGATGGCTGTTATCTCCAACTTGTTTCCCGTATGGGCTGCAAATAGTTCTGCAAGCATTTCTATAGATTATAATCCCAAACTCATTGGATGTTGGTGCCTTACATGATGTCCTGTTATGTATGGTATTGAGCATTTACAACTTTTAGAGTTGTTTTTGGTCCCTAATGCATTAAATGCTTCTTTATGTGCTTGACCAAGTAAAAGAGCTTCTTTCTTGCTTTCTTGAAGCTTCTATTTTATGTTCTAAAAACATGTTTCTTTCGGTTCTCACGAAGAGGATATCTCCATTTAAATACAATATGTACAATATTGATTTTGTATTGATGCTTCTGGCTGTCCAATTTGTAGTGACTGGTGCACATTTGCCTAAAGATCAACCTGTAATTAAGCGAAATTGATATATCTGTTTGTCATTATCTTATTTAACCCATTTTTCGCTCAGGCATGGGAGTGTGCTCCAGGGAAACAATTCATGTGGAGTGTCATCTCCTTGTTCACAACATCTGGCATGCTATTTCTCGAAGTAAGCTTGATAGCCTTTCTACTTCAAGGGAACCACGCTAGTGGACGTGAGGCGCTAACACAGACTTTCCTAATCTCTGCAATTGTAGTAGGTTTAGATATATCTCTAAAGGTGCGATCCTGTTCTGTTTAATCACCAAACTTTCACTTATTTGTTGCTTAATGCTGCTGTTACCATGTTTATGCAATAGCTTAAAGCCAAGTTCATATGGCTAGCACATGATTTTTCTGCTAGGATAAAGTAAGAAGGAGAAGAAGAAGAGGATTAAATGTTCATATTCTTATTATGTTATGAGGAAAAGGGACTTGTCCAGTGTGGGAAAATTGAAAAGTTGCTAGGGAAACGGAAGAGTGGACACAGAAAGGGATGTGCCAATGTTGATGATACAGGAATATTGAATGGAAAGGGAAGAGGGAACCGGTAAGCACTACAAAGGAGAATGTACCATATATTGGTTTGAACTATCTAGTGAGCCACTTTACACCAAAAATACAGATTTTGAAAACATCTATCGTAATGATAGAAATGTGAGTTCTCTGCCCTCCAAAGCAAGTTTTTTCTGCTCCAGCGATATTATCCATAAGATGCACAGTGTAATAGTTCTCTATGTGTGCTTTATCTCTTTTGGTATCACCTGATGCTGCCAACCCTCCATTATACCTTTCACATACTGGGGCATCACCCATGTTATACCACAAAGGTTTTGGAATAACTCCCAACATTCTCTAGAAAATCTGCAATGGAGAAATAGGTGCCAAATTGTTTACTGATCTTCTTGATACAGGTAGCATCTAGTACATAGGTCAAAACCTCTCTTCTGCAAGTTAGTTTGAGTTGAGCATGCCCCCCATGTTGCAGCCCTTTCCAAACATGCTACTTTAACTGGAAATCTGGAGCGTCACCCATGTAATACCACAAAGGCTTAGGAATAACTCCAAATATTCTCTAGAATCTGCGATGATATAGGTGCTATATTGTTTCCTGATCTTCCTGGCACATGTAGAATCATCTATTTCATAGGTCAAAACCTCTCTTTGCAAGTTATTTTAATTAAGCATGCCCCCCGTTCGGAAGCTAATTAGTTGGCATGGACACCATGATTATAAAAATATTTCAAAAATAAAATATCATGTGGCTCAATAGTGAAATTCAAACTATCCTCATTAAACTGTGTTTCAAAATGCCATTCACTGAAAGCAAGTCATGGAACTTCTTATATAACAGAAAAGGTTGTGTAGATTTATGTAGTCACCTGTCAATACAACTTAATCTCTTCTTTAGTCATAAGATCAACTTGCAATGTCGTGGTGTGCCAGAGTTGAATGTACATTTGCAGTCTGAGTAGGAGTAGTTCAAGTTGCAATTCGGATCTGAAGATAGTCAAACAAGGATAAAGAAAAAAGTCACCCAATCATGAGCGAGATTTAACTTGAGAAGGATATGTATATGGAGGCAATAAGTGACAGGCGAAAAATCTATAATAAAAAAAGAGTCATATTTTTCTCTTCATGCTCTCTATACATTTGTTGGGATCCCAGCCTTAGTGCTGAAGATTTATATACAAACTTGTTACCTTTGTCAAAAAAATAAAAGATATTCTATTTGAAGACGGTGTATGTATATATGAGAACAAGCAGAAACATACTTAAGTAACATGTATTCATGCTTTCTTATTAGTTGCATGAAAATATACTTTATTATCTGCATCTATATTTGTCAGCAGATGCAATGTTGTGCGTCATAATATGCTCAAGTAAAACCTTGTTCCTTCTCGGAACAAATTTATGTAGCTTTTCCTGCTGTGGGTTTGATAGATTTCTCTAGATCACCTCATTTAAAAGTTTAAGTAGTCTGAGAGGAGAAAATTTTTATTTATATAATTATGTCTTAACACCCCAGTGACATGTGGGCCTTATTTTTTTTTATTTTATTTGATTAATCTGTGGAAACACCTTTGTTCGTTTGGTGGCGGTGAGTTCTGAAACCAAAATTATGCTTTGGTACCATGTTCACGATCACCTCATACAAAAGCTTAAATTGGTAGAGAGGAGACATTTTAATGATTAATTTTGTTGTAACAGCTCTTAAAAAAAGAGGAGGTATCTGGCGCAAAATGAAGTTGAAAGTCGGAAGTTTCTGTGGCATGTCATGTTGCTGGTTATATCCCAGTTGAATTTTTAGATGAATGACCTAGTTCCAATTATTTCAGTTGCTTTTGAATTGTTTATGTCCTATGAGGATCAGGGACTCATGTCAGCATTCAGCACCTCTGACATGCTTCTTATGCGTCTCATCCTCACTAAGAGTCGCACATTTTACTTTTGTGAATTATATCATACTAGAGGTATTGATCCATGCTATTTATTCTCCCAGGGGTTATACCTATTTGGATTTGGTATTCAGTTGTTTGATGTTAGCAACAATGGCTCACAATGGGCCTTATGGGTTATTCACAAGTTGCTGCTGACTGGAGTATATGGCCTCATCTTTTTTATGTATCGATCTACATGGAGAGAAAGGTTGCCAGGTGAGTTTCGTCTCATGAATTTATGTGGGGTCTATTATGAACTTATACTATTATATCCTTACTATTAGTATCTTTCTCTCGTTGCAGCAAGACCTGCATTCCAGAACTATATTTCCATCATGTTTTGCGTAAATGCAACTGCCTTGCTTGCATGTGCACTTGCAGCACATGGGACTGGATTTGGAATATGGTAGGCTGTCTTTAATGACTTCAGATGATGTCCTTTCTTATCTACTGTGATTATTAAGGGCATTCATACTTTAATACTGGAACTAATGATAGTATGAGTTCAGACATGCAATTTTGACAAGTACAAGTAAAGGGGGTCGGGGAGCTGGGGAATTAACATAATCCGATGTATGATTCAGCTACTTTAAGTTTACTAAGAGATTATCATTTTTCATTACAGGTTGTACAATATCACGGTCATATGTTACCATGCCATGTACCTTCCTCTTCTGTATATTACTTTCCTAGCGGACTTTTTGCAGGTATCATTTACTAATCATTCATTCTCACTTTATGTCCCTGCCATGTGTATCTTTGACCTGCAAAGCGCTTACATTGTTGGACTGTAAGATACTTCTTTACCTGCTCTGTTCTAACTTATGTGTGCAGGAGGACGACTTGCATCTGGAGAATGTATACTACTCAGAAATGAAAGATGCTGGCTTCTTTGATGTCGATTGGGAGTAATTCAGCAAGTACTTCTAAATAATGGTGGTGAATTGGATGCTGTAAATGTGTAAATATGTATTAACATTTTAGAGAATTCAGAAAATGGTAAAATTAGTTTCCTTTCAAGTTATACTTAACTTCTCAATGACTGTACCACTATTTGTTCGATGCTACTATAGAGCAAAAATATACTTTATGCATACGTGAGATAAGTTCCTAAATCAATGATACTAAGTACTAACACATGCCCTTGCCCAGTGGTTTGGGCTTGAGATTTTCATTTTGGAGGTCTCAAGTTCGAATTGGGGTCGACCTCGTTGCACCGGCCTTGCCTAGTATAGGTTTTCTTTTTCTTACGTGGGTTGCAAGCTATTGCGCCCTGCGCTTGGGGATGGATTTCCGTTGCCATAAAAAAAAACTAATGATACTAAACATAAAGAACCAACACCATGAACATGTGAACAAAAACAGATTTTGTTAGCACTTGCAGTTGCACCAATGTATCTTTATTAGAAGAAAATTTTAAATGATGTGAACATGCTATTAGTCATTTTCAATTAAAAGCCAACTCTAACCAATTTTGTTCACATATTTCTCAACTGCCTCTTTTATGTAACTTGGAGACAAATCAATCTTTTCAACAACTGGCCTCATTATCATCCATTTAACCAATTTTGTTAATATTCCTCGTGAGTTAATTTCTCAATGGAGGAGTCTACTACGAGTAATCATTAATCACATTCTTTACAAGAAATATATATTCTCTCAGTGTTTAAAAGGAGGCGTGAAGCGAGGCGTTTTATACCGTACGGGTGATGCATAACCCCCGAGACATGGGGTGTAAGTCTCATGGATTTACGGAGCATAATTCCATGTATATTTAATATTATAGTTTTATTACTAATAAAATAAACAAAAGTAAACATTTCAATGATTTTAAAAATAAAGATTTATAAATAACCTATAATATATAGAAATTATATTATGATGTTTATTTGAGATAAGTATTATTAATCAATAAAGCAAAAAAAAATCAAAAAATAAATTAAAAACGCCCCAGCCTACGTTTTTACGCCTAGAACTTACGTTTTCATGTTCTAGGCTTACGCCTCAAATTTTAGAACTTACACCTTTAATTTACAACCCGAAGCATTTTTTGTATGTCCGGTCCCGAAACTCGCCTCAAAAACGTTTTTGAAAACACTGTTAAATCTCAATTATTTCTTCACCTTTAATTAGAAATCTCGTGTGAAAATAAATTTTTTACCAATAAAAAGAGAAATCACTAAGATCTATCTTGACGTGAATTTAAATTAATTCAATCAAATTAGTAAATTTTGAATATAGTGTTAAGATTAAAAAAAAGACAAAGACAAAACAAGATGAAGCATCTCAAGGTTTGGTCCCATACCCAATTAAACCCATATTGTTGAAAAGATAAGAGATAAGAGGAAACTTGAAGAATCAATTCTGTTTGCATAATGTATGCAAAAATTGGTAGTTTTTTTTCTAATTTCATTTGGCTAAAAATAAATTCCCAGCCTACTCCACAGGTGATATTTCATTTTCATTATTCAATGTAAAGTAAAAGTTGCCCCACCTATATTTGTTGCATGTGTTTATACAAAACCACATATTATTATTACTTACTTACAAAGAGAGTAATTTAATTTGCATCAAAGTTGTTGGTGATCATGCACTGGCTTCTTTTTCTTTTCAATTTTTTTTTTTATTTTGATTAGTGAATCATATGGAGAGAAATTAAAATATTTTTTTCTTAATCTTTAATTTAATGGAGTGAATAATTAAACATTGCTTTAATTTCTCTGCCTTCTTTTTTTAAATAAAGTTGCTCAAATTAAATGATTGAGTCACATTGAAGGAAAAAAGAAAACGATTGGAGATACTATTTTTTTTTATAAATAAAAACAATCTAATAATTTCTTTCTACATACACACATGATAAGGGGGTTTATAGGGACAATCAAGCCAACATTTATGATCTGATCTAAAATATACGAGTGTCGGACATCAAATAAGAAATTAAAAAAATTCATAAGTACCATTTATAATTTTCATACTTCAATGGTTCTGCAAGAACCAAGTTAGTTCTTTTAAATAAGAAGAAAATTGACTTATTTTGGAGTTCTTATTGTAAAATGTGTGATCACTTTTAGGCAAACTTCAATATTAGGAAAAGATCATATAATTAAGCTTTATGATATTATTTTTCTTTTTGTGAAAAGTTAGAATAATTTTTGGTAGGAACATTTGGAATTTTATTTTTTTTTTGAAAGGAACTTGGTTGATAGAAGCACCATGACACAAAAAGTTCAACCTTTTGTTAATTATTTGTTCATTTTTTAAAAGAAAAGTTTTCAATTTAAAAAGATATTGGTTGAAGAGTCAAATGTTGAAAGGACATTCATCAAGAATGAACTATTGAAATACTAACAAAAAATTTAAATATAAAGTCATCAAAAAGGTCCTTTTAACCTAAAAGCACATATAATTTATTTGAAAGTGACATCTAAAGTTTATGTAAAACAAATATCCAACGTTATATTGCAAGAACGATGTTTATAATATTTAGCTTGATATATTTATTAAATATTATTTATTTTTATTTAAAGTAGATATTTTGATGCACATTATTAATTTCACTCCTGATAATTATGTTGTTTTAGATTACTGATACCAATATTTTTCAAAAATACATTTTGAATTTGAGTCACAATTATTCGTTTATTGAATGTGACATTTCTTATTCTTTAAAAACATGAAAGTCACGATTATTTGCTTGTGATATTGGAGTTTAAGGGTGGTATATGGATAGGTTAAACTGAATTTAGGCCGATCAAAATAAATTAGCAAATTTATTTAAAAGTTATTTAGATTGAAAATTTGAATTACGATAGACCTTAATTTATCTCCCAACTATAATCAATTTAATATTTTAGTTTGTTTCTTATGATTAATGAAATTACTTAACAATTTTTTTTAATTACGGATGCAAATAAAATTTCCAAAAAAAGAGATAATACGTATTTTTGTTTGATCAGATTAAATTATATATTTATTTTAATTTTAAATATGTGGTATAGATGAATTATATCGATTAAAATAGAAAAAAATCGACTGGACAAAACTAAGAGAATACGATGGATCACATTTTTTCATGAGGTAATTCTTTATCACTTCTATCCAAAGTAATCATATATTACATATAAATCAATTGTAAATATAATAAAAATACAAAATATCTGAAGTAATTTTGGAAAGAGGTTATTAAATAAAATATGACTCATTTATAGTTTTACAAGAATTAAGAATTATGATTAAATGTTATGTAGTTGATCAATTTTAAGTTCTCGCTAATTATAAAATTACGTCGATTATATTATATATAAAAGAAGCGGTCCGGTTCGATAGCCCCAGTTCGGACCCTTTCGGTGAACCCTTTTACGCAATTCACACTTCCCCCCTCTACTCTCTCTCTCTGTTTCTGATCACCGAACAACCAAAAATTCTCTCTCTCTCTCCTCTTCATATCCTAGGGTTCATCGATTTATCTATGCATACAATGCACGTTGCTTTCTCTCTCTCTGCATCATTTGTTCTTCTCTAAGAAAGATAGAGAGAGAGAGGTGATACCATTGATCAGAGGAGGTCCCAAAAGTAACGTTATATTCAATTCCAAGATTGATTCCTCTTCCATTATCATCATTCATTGGAAGCTCCGGTGAGTTCTCTCTCCCTCTCTCTCAAAATTACGATTTCTAAAACGTTGTCGTTTCTTCTGTAGACGCTGAATCATGAGTCTGATGGGAAACTCCGGATCAATTTTTTTTTTTATGTATTGGATTTGATGCTCATTTTCCTTACTGGCATGCACATATTTTTATGAGATTCTTACGCGGACATACAATAGTTGTATTATGGTATCTTTTTGTTCGTTGTTACTTTTAGGTTGCGTGTATTTTTGTTGATTTAAATATGGATGTTTTTTGCTATTTTGATTTCTTTTTTGCTTGCAGGAGGTGATATCTGTTAATTTGGATTGAATTTTAAGATAAACAAAATAGCCATGTATTCCGACCTGGTGGAAATTGCACCAAGGGAACTCCAGTTCACATGTAAGTTTTTTCCCATATTCCAGTTAATGCTGCTTGCTTACATGTGTAGTTTAGTTTAAAAAAATAAATAAATAACACTTGCTATGAGCTGTGCAATCATACTACAACTTGATCAGACTGAAGGATTGGTATGGATAAGAGACAGATTTAATTATTCTAATAAGAGCTTTTGTTGATGAGGTGGAGCCTTTTGGTTCGATTTACACTTGTTATGTTAAGGGTGTGATTGAATATACACTCATAAGTCATAATAACTAATACTTAACCTCTGACACCATATAATTTCCGGCGAAGGGTGTGCACCAAACCACCCTTCGCCTAAGGTGGCCCCGCCAATGATGGTCTAGTGCTCATGTGCATCCACTTTTCATTGTTTTCATCTTAGTTTTTCTTTCTTTCTTTTTTTGTGTGTGGGGTGGGGAAAGGGTTGGTTTATAATGAAAGTTTTGTTGTATAAATTCTGGGAAGGATATTGTTGCTGAATTGGTGTTGGATTTTTCCTTGCAGTTGAACCCAAGAAGCAAAGCTCTTGCACTATTCGACTAATCAATAAGTCCCAAAATCATGTTGCTTTTAAGGTATGTATTTTTTGTTTTAGTTGAGTGCTTTTTTGGAATTATATGGAGGTTGATAAGTATCATGTTGGAATTAAACAGGTCAAGACTACTAGTCCAAAGAAATATTGTGTTAGACCAAATACAGGAACTATTAAGCCAAGAGCATCCTGTGATTTTACAGGTAAGAACAATTCTTCGTGATGGCAGCATATGCACATCCATACCTGTGTTTTGAGTTAGATCTATGACAAATCATTAAATTTCTTGTAGTAGTAAATACAACTTAAGAATGTCGCATTATTCTTGGTACAAGTAGTAGTTCTGGTGCGTTCTGTAATGGAGATTACCACCACTTCAGCATAGGTAAACCTTTTCAATGATCACTTGTCTGCATGATGGTCTGGAATGATAGTTAGTATTGCAAGAGGCAATTCATAAATCATTTTTTAATTATTTGTTTATGCTATCAAATGGATAGAGAATCCTAGTGTTCCTTTCATATGAAAGAGGAATTGACAGCTAGAATTGAATG